TTCAGGGTTCCATGCTAGAGTCATTCAGCCGAGGGTCGAAGGAGATGTGGCTTTTCTTGAAGTGCCCCGAGCTTTTCTGGCTTGCAACGAGTACGGCATCTGCGCACTCGCTAAGACGACCGAACAAGGAATTTCAATTGAACATCTACATGAGCGGCAAAGCTCGATTCAGCACGAACATCTAAAAGATGTCTAAAAGTCTTGGGCTTGGGCTTAAAGGCTTATGCCCAGGTTGAGGACTGACTCTCAGACATGTTGTGGAAACGACTTCACCATTGTCCCGTTGGGCATTGGAAGTTGGTTGAAGACGGGGTTCCCTTTCATGTACCGATTTCAGTATCAACCACTACTAGTGGCTCTCTAAACCCCAAGCTCCAAACCCCTTTTTTGCTACTGGGCTGAAGGCGAGCCAGACACCCTCAAAGACTACCACCCTCAACCTCTCAATCTTCCCCCCGACTGAGCCCTAAATCCCTGAATCCTCAGTCGGAGAAGCCTGGCCGGAGTAGAGGACCACCTCCGAAAGGCGTGCCAGAAGCCCAAAGATCGGCCAGCCCTTAGCTGGGCTCTTCTTCAAGGCGAAAGAGCTCGGTGTTTCCCACCCCCGGCCGCAGGAAACTTCTGAACTCCAGCAAAGACGAGGCACCTAGCATCCCTTTTTCCAGGGCACGGACAACCACAAATGCGAAACCGATAGGCAAAGGAGGAATGCCAGCGCTGCCAGCGTAGGCGAAAGGTTGTCTTGCCTGCTGCATCCTGAAGAAATCGCTGGGCATGGTGACGAATTGCTAAACGCCCTGCCGGGCAAAGTGACGATACACATTTAGTTCGTCATGCTTTGGGCATTTCGCCCATCAATGTCCAAAAGATTGGAGTACAAAAGCAGCTTGGCTGCTGTCTCCTGTGACAAACAGTCACACCAGTCATGCTCACGTAAACAAGACTGTCATTCAAGGCAAAGAATCCGCTCAGGTGTATGAACCACGAATTACAATTGGCATGCAAGCACTCACACTCAAAACAGGCTCTGATCCCGCGTCGCCCACAATCTGTTCCGCCCCTCCTCCTCCTCCTCCTCCTCCTACTCCGTCTCTTTGCCGTGTGAAAGCATGGCGCACAGGCTCTGGCAGCAGGTCTGGGCGTTGACGTTTTTGATCTGCTGGTCGTCTCGCTTGGCTTGCCCTGCCTTGCTTTTACAGCAGCAAATTCTGGAGACGGCTGTCTCCTCCCACTCAACGATTGATACAGCACAATGATATAATGCCGTGAAGATGAGGATAGAGAAAACGTTGGACGCAAGCGTAGAGAAAAAGGCTAAGATTTCCCAAAAGACCTCCTCGCCGCAGGCCGACTGTCCAGAAAAGACTAGGAGGGCGCCGAACGACAGGTACTCGATCAACCTGACCGTCACAAAAGCGGCCTTGTGGCGAGGATCCCTGTTGAGCGTCACGACCACTGGAGCTGCAGTCACAGCAATAGCAAAGCACCCGCCGATCAAGGTCCAGAAGATCAAGAGCAAGACCAGAAGAGGAGAGTATGCAAGAAACCAAAGCGCACCCACAAAGACCACGAACACAAGCCCTATTGCCAGGCCTATGGGTGTAGCGATGCACCAGAAGATCTTCACGATTCTTAGGAAGCATGGCAGGCAAGGCAAGCACGCTTCTGCACACTCAACGTCCCAGTCCTGTGGACCATCTGAAGTTTCAGGCAACGGGGACTGGGAGCCTTCAAAAAGGAAACGCAGTACTGCAGGGAGGTCTGCGACAATGCGGCGGGCCAAACCTACCAACCAGCAGATTGCTCTCAGCAGCTTCTGCAGACGCTCCCAAACCACATGCAATACCACACAAGTCGTCTCCCAGAAGCTGAGCGCAACCTGACAAAGGGCAAAGATGATGGCCAGCGGAATCCCAATTGGCCTGATCACCTCGGAGAAGCCCAAAGCATAGGCCCCACATCGCAGCAAAGTGTCCGATACCAAGTAGATCCAGAAGACAAACTTGCCAATCATGGAGTCGTGAAGTGGTGAGAGCACTTTTCCGGGAGGATTCTTTTCATTCAAAGGATCTTCTGCAAGAGTCTGCCCTTCCGGAGGTGATGCCGACGATCCCAGCCGCACAGCTGGAGGCACAGTCAGATGAACCTGGTCATCCACTTCCCCTCTACGACTCTGTCGGCTGGCTGCGACCGACTGCCGGTAGGATTTGCGTCTTGCATTCTGTCTGGCCTTCGCCTTCGCTGCGACATACAGTAGCATTGACATGAGCTCCTGTTGTTTTGGGGTTTCAACAAGAGGTGTTTCTTCCTCATGACCAGACTGGGACTCCTCAGCCGGCTCTTCAGGAGGATCGTGTGCGGCAGGCTCTGGTGACTCTGGTGCATCATAGGACTGAGGCAACCGGTCAGACAAGTCATCCTCGAGTTCGCCGCCGCTCCAAATCATCTTCTCTGCAACTGTTAACTCTGGGAGACTGACCAGTAGAGACGTAGACAGACTGAGGATAGAGACAGTTAGCGAAAACACTCGTAGAGGCTGGCCATGTGATCCAGTTGCAAAGAGCACGTAGGCTTGGAAGAATGCTTGTGGAGCTGACTCAACCAACTTGATGATCGTCTCTCTTTTCAATATATTCATCCTCTTCTGCTTATCCATGAAGCGGTTCCCGTGGCGCAACATGTGCAGTAAGTCCATGAACGGTGCCAGCTGCAAGAAGGACACCACGAAACTTATCGCAGCGGCAAAGCTTGCAACGCCAGGAGATTTGACTCCTCGACGCCGTCTGCGGCTGTACATCCAGGCTGAGCCTATGGACGAGCAACCGAGAATCAACGCGCTAATGGCAAACCACCAAGGGTGGACCTCGCAGGTCTCGCTGGTGTCACTGGGGAGGGGAAGACATTCTGTCCGCAAAGGCTTGCCGAACCAGCACACAAACTGCAGCAGAACAAGGATGTCTGTAACAAAGTCGACGAAGTTGAGGCAGGCAAAGAACCCTGTCTTCAGGAACAGGAGAAAATCGAAGCCTGCATCCTGCGTCTCCTTTGGGCTGGGGACTGAAACCATGTTGCGCAGAACTGATCTGAGCTTTGGTCCCCAGCAAGTTCCCTGGCCGAAAACGCCCTGAGCCAAGGCAAAACTATGCGGCTCGGGGTTTGAAGGTTACAGTCGTCGGTTCCTCAGAAACATATGGGAAGGGAAGTTTGGAACTATCCCACCCTTGCCACGTTGGCAGTAAAGGTGGAGAGGGGCTGGACAGACTTGCATGAGGTAGACTACCTAGAACCAGAAGGGTAGAACCAAACGACCTCTAACTGACATGAACAGTTTGCCCGCTTGGTGCCTTCCAACTTCTGAGGTGGCGGACGTGTGTAACATGGGCCACTCCAGACTACACAACATTCCTACTCCCGCACCCTCCCGTGTGTCCTGAATGCACTTCGGGGCAGCCAGTACATGGGACTTTTTGTTGTAGGTTCTTATTACAGGCCCTCATACAGGTTCAAGGTAGGACAAGATGCGGTTTCTGCAGCCAAGAAGCAGAGCGCAGCAGCTCAGCAAAGTTCATGCCAAGCTTGTTCAGTCGATCGCCGGCGACGAAAAGCATCCCGTGGCCTCTGCTTCGAGCGGGTTTAGGCTTAGTGTGGAAAACCTTTCACAACATGCTCGGCAAGACGCAAAGATCTTTTTGTTTGGGTTCTTATGGCATGGTGTTCTTTTTGCAGGGAGGCGCTTTGATTGTTTCAGTCGGAGCGGATAGCATTTTTGTCGAGGGTGAAAGGGCTTGTCTTGTTCCGCTGTTAGGGCGTGCGCTTCTGTTGCTGTTGGGGCAAGGAGGTGCTTTTCGCTGCTGTTGATGCCGGACAAGGCGTTCACTCACGTGCTGGCTTGCTGTCTTTGGCTGCAGTGCACGACCGCAGCAAAAAAAACAGCAAAATCGCCGAAACAGCAAACAACAAATCTCCCGTTCCTCCTCATGTCAAAGATGGTCACTTCCGTCATGCTGCAAGTGTCTGCGCTAGTTACACGACACGCCACGAAAGAGCGTCATGTTTGCCACTGAACACTTATTAGCTGTGGGCTCATCACTTGCACCCGATCAGGAGCTTGATGCCTATACCGCTTGTGCCTTCGATGGGGATCCGCCTATAGTATAGCTGCAGCCATGTTTCGTTCTCCCGGTGTCAAGAAGCTCAAGGAGAACAAGTCTGCCGCGACCTCCCACTCTCGGTCATGGGGAGTCGGGCGGGCACCTATCCCCATGTAGCATAGTCAGTATTAGCCGCACATGGAACTGGAGCAGTTTTCCTCGCAGCTGGGCATGTTAAAGTTTCAGATGCGCATACAAACTGACTCGGCATCGTTCATCCAACTCCAACGATCGCACAGGAAGCGCTGCAAGGGCAGAACCCTCAACCCAGTAAGGTGATCAAACTAACAGTGTTTGAATGCGCCATCCAAAAACAATTTCCTTTTGTCTTTAAGTGTCCAAACCCACATACGAGGAGTTGATAGTGGCGTAACTATCGCTGTAGTTCTTGCTTGTCATCTTCTTGACTACTACTACACTGACTACGGCCCCAAATGCTTCCCACGTCTTATTATCAATATTCTTCTTACAGTTAATCAGATTTCCCCGCCTGCCCAAGTCGGCAGGGGTTTTGCATCTGCGCCAGCTGCAAGTTGCGCTCCTGCGAGTTGCTGATGAGGCCTGCCGGTCACTTTAGGATTGGGACTCCCTCACATAGACTCTGACAGCCCTAACCCTATATGCCTTGATTAATCCACACCTTATAATCCCTATCTGGGCCACACGCAAAGCCCCAAAGCGCGAAATCCGGGCAGGGGTTTAATTAAGGCATGGGGAGTATATATTGTCCTGATATATAACTAACTACAAACGGACCTTAAAGGTTTATTCACAACAATGTTGACTGAGACCTCCCCAGACGTTTGCGCTTGATCGAGGTCTGAATAATCCAGGGCTCAGTCTTTGAGTTTATAGCGTTTCGACTCTCGCAACTTGGCATATGGGGCTTTTCTCCACAAGAAGCGCCACCAAATCAACCAGAAGGCTGTGCGAGAGCTTCGCCGTTGCTCCCTTGACGGCAAAAGCTTGGCAAGCATGCTTCTCGCACAGCAGCTCCGCCAGCCGCGACAATGCCGCCGCCGTTAGATCATCGAAGCCGAGCTCTTCAGCGCGCCGCGTCACTTCCGGCAACTCCTGCAGCGTCCCGGCCAATGCTGTGACTTCACAGGCGGCGCAAGCTCTGGCAACGTGTCTTTCGTCCAGCTGCAAGAAGTTGCCTTGAAGGAGGGCGAGAAGGTCAACTGCACAGGCCGCATCGACATCAAGCTTCCCCGTGTAGAGGAAATGTATGAGTCGGCGAAAGGCGCTCCTCGCAGTCTCCAGATTGGCCCCATCACCCCTTAAGCCCTGCTCCTCGACGAAGCCGAGGTGAACGATGCCGTCGCGCTCCAGAAAAGCTGACGAGAGCGCTGCGGCGAAGAAGCCGCTGCAGGCTCCGAGGACGAGGCGATGGGCTTCCAAACGCGGAGCGGCAGTCGAGTCGCTGGAGGCATCGTCCCGGCGACCAAGTACAAGAGTGACCATGTCTTCTTTGGGACCACCGGGACCGCTCAGTTCCTCCACCAGGGTTGCCACATCATCTTCCAACACTGCGCCAGGAGGACCCTGCCCCACAACAGCTCCCGCTGCAACCTTGTGGCTGGACCAAGATGCTGTCTCCAAGGCTTCTGCAGACTTTTCTGGCGGAGGCTTGCTCGATATGTGGCCAAGAGTGACCAGCCATCCATGGCAGCCTCGCTCCAGTGCACCCATCTCTGCCACCGATGCCACATGCCGGAGCTCGGAGACCCGCTGCTCCAAGGAGTCCTGAATAGCTACGACTGATACACTAATTTCACTACTTAGTGTGTTCTTTGTTAACCTTTCAGAAAAAACCAATGAAAAGCACAATGTCGTATCAAACCCGAGTGGTTCGTCCTCTGCATCGGGGCCCGGACGGTCCCAGGGCAGTTGTGCCGTGTACAAGAAGGCCACGAAATCCTCCAAGCCAGTGCTCGTGATGCCGGGGAGGTGCACAGCCCCCTGCTCTGTGACGAAACGAAAGAGAGCAGGGCTGCGACACCGCAGAAGGGAGCTGTGAACAAGCTGTGATGCTATGCCGTCACCCTGAAGTCTCACACAGCTCCCATAAGCTGCCATCTCCTCCGCCGGCAACTGCCACAAACCATGCAGCCCGCAGGCGATGAGACCTGGTCGTTCTCTCTTCAAGACCAACTTTCGCCAGGAAGTGTCATGATTCAGGTGCTCGATCCATCCAGCCCGGTAGCCTCCTTGCCCATCCAAATGCCAGGAGAGCCTCCTTGGCCCCTCCGCAACGTCGGCCCCGCCGCGCCGCTGAATCGCTTCGTCAGCAAAACCGAAAGCACGTCCACGCTCCAAGTACCAAATCAAGCCGTTGTGCTCAGTCTGCTGCCAGCGCTGGCAGTTCCGCAGCACGGCTTTGCTTCTTCCACAGGCGCACGTGTCCAACACCAAGCCTGTCGTCCCATCGGCATCATGCGCTGCGCCGGCTACAATGATTGAGTCCTCGTCGATGGACTCGAGATCCTGTGCGCGTGTTGCAGCCCTGTAGACCTCATTGTAATGCACAGTCCAGCCCAAGAATGTTTCGAGAGGTGTCTCCTCGCGGACGCCAGCAAATGGAAGACGATGCGCACAGCTAGATTCCATTGCTTTTCGATTCTATGAAGTCCATGAGATATGTAACATACGGGCCTTGAAAATCAGAGCATGTTAGAATGGGGTTTGGGGATATAGTATTATGGCTATAAGTATAGAGGGGAAAAAAGGGAATAGGATCAGCAAGCTATTCCGACCTCTATGGCTGTGCCGACCCGGTTTCCGCACTGAGATGAAGATCTGACAAGGCAAAATCCCTGGCTTGCATTTTTTACCTGCAAGTACGCTGCCGCTATCACAACGGCCTCTTATGCATGTTGCTATCTACCAGGAAGTCCAGTCTTGTGCCTAACCTCCAATTGTGGCCACTACTAAAAACTGCTTCAGCGCAGAAACAGCGATCAGGCCTTCTGAAAAAAAGTATATAGTAGTTCCATCTTGCTGAGTCAGGTTACCACGTTCGCGGCACTGTCACACAAAATCTTGATTAATTATTACGGCGTTTTTTCGCGGGAGTGAACGAGAGCCCCACGGACCCCAAAGGTGCACCTGGCTGCATCTGCAGCAGCCGCATCCTTGGCTCTTCGGATGGGAGGTGACAGGTACAGTTGTGCAAGCCCTAATGAGCAGAAGTCAAGGGTCTGCACGCAGGGCTATCGCCCTTAAAGTAATCCTAATACTACCCTCATACTATTAACCTCCATCCGCGAAGCGAAGCAGGGAGAAGCTAGGCTCCCCGCGCAGCAATGCCGCCTGGGTGCGGGGGAATCGGCTTCGACGCCGGATTTCGGCGCTTCTCGATTTGTGGCTGGGGCAGTGCAGACCGACAACAGCAAAACAGGCCCGGTGAGACGTGTGTCGCATGAGGCCTTTGATCCCACAAGCCTTCAATTTTGAGGCCAGGGTGCAGTAAGACCACACGCCCTGATCAAGACCAAAGCAGCGTCGGCTGCGCATCACTGGTTCTGCCAACGTGGCATAGGTGATGAGATCCTGTTCTGGGAAGACATGAACTGCCGAGATTGCATCTCCGATTGATAAAGTTACATGTGCATGCGCATATGTTTATATATATATACACATAACTTATGTGACATAAGAACATGTATATATGGTCTCGTGTCGCGTG